CTCGGTCTACGTCCACTCCTCAAGCTTCACTTGAGATTTTTCACTATCTTCTAGCTTCACAGGGTGCTAGCAACCTTTTCACAGATGGAGCAATCCTTCACAAATTTTACACAGACTTTCTAAGTCAAGAACACTGAGTGTACTACACTCTTACAAGGTTGAAAAGAAAGTGTTTTTGCTTTCACAGAAAGCTACAATAATTATCTCTCAAAGATAGATATAAAAATGAAGATCTGGTTTTTCTGTAAACATTACACAGGAAAGATGAGCTTAATGCTATAAGGCTCAGTGTATAATTTCTGAGAGATGATGTAAACAAAAATTGAAGAACACTTCTTAGAGAATTTTTCAGAGAATAAATGTGAGTGAATATAGATCAAAAAATATTTTCTGATTTTTTGTGACTTATTTGCATTAGAGGCTTTGGTATATATAATGAAACTTATAGCCGTTTATAGCCGTTGTATGTATTTGAATTTATAGACATTTATAGCCGTTGTATTCATTTGAATTTATAGTCGTTTATAGCCGTTGTACTCCATCATTACTAATTTGAATATCTTCCACTCCATCATTACAAATTTGAATATCTTCCACTTGAACCTTTTGAACTACTGCTGTGTTGGACTGTTTAAACCTCTGTTTTGGGCTATTTGAACTCCTGATTTAATTAAATATTAAATACATTCTAACAACATTTAGGATAAAGGTTTATGTGAGAAATAATGGGACAAAATAAATTTTGACTCTATTTTCTCTTTCAAATAAATCATCAAAATAAATTTTGATTCTATTTTTCTCTTTCAAATAAATTAAAATATAATTAAGTGAATCATTAAAATAAATTTTGAATTCTATTTTTTTCTTTCAAATAAATTAAAACATAATTAAATAAATCATCAAAATAAATAAGTCTAACAATTGCCAAAAGTTAAGTTTATACCCAATTTACCCCTCCCAGATCCCATCCAATGGGACTAACTTGGTGTACTTCTTTTAAAATATATAGGAGGATAATAGTACGTCCACTAAGTTGCCAAAATAGGTCATATAGGAAATTCCTTGAATAACTTTAGTGGGTATCAACATCAGGACCCTTTCAAAAGCTTAAGAGAACATCCTATGAAAAAGGTATTACCTCATACCACGTCAAACCACTCAAGTGACCATTTTAAAAAACTGATTCATATTGTTTAATATATTGTGAGCTAGAGTCTCAAAACGTCCCCTGCCGTCAACCCGCCGCTATAATAGGCCACATAGTTCATCATTAGGGGGGAGAAAAAACATACCCCAGGACAAACTTGCTTGTATTGCTGAACAAATCATTAAATAATTTCCTGAAATATATCAGTAATTGAATTTAGCCTTCATAAACTCCAAATTCCCCAACTGTCAAAAGAAATAAAAAATAAAACAATCGAGAAACCAAAAGATAGTAAAAACATTGTAAATGAAGTACTGAACAAATTCTAACCTTAACATACTCGAATAACCAAAAAAATAATCTGACCAGATAGATAATAATTGAAATTCCCAACCTTAAGGCCATTATAGCATTAGATCAAATCATAATTTACACCGTTGAGTGTAAACAAACCGCCCTGAAAAAATAATATATTGTCAAGAACCAATCTACTCAATTGCCAAAAATAGCAAACCAGATCATGAGTTACAAACAAAAAAGATAATCACATGGGTAACCACAAGTTTACTCAACAAGAAGAATATACATTATATGGATAACTACAAAACCACTCTAAAACACATAATCTAAAATTAACATCTGGATCACAAAATCACACTAAAGCACATGCATAACAATAAGAAAGAATGACTATACAACAAGGCTTTCATTAACAACGTAAAATAACAGTAAAAAAAGGTATTTGAGTGACCCCAACATTATTCTAGAAACATATATGGAAAAGCAATATAAGGGCATCTCCAATCCTTACTCAAATATTGACTCAAACTTAAATTTGAGTTGAAAAAAACACCCCAAACACCTCTCTACTCTTTGACTCAAACTCGTACCAAATACCCAAATGGAGGGAGACTTAAATCTTGACTCAAATGTTCAATTCAAAGGCTATATCTGCTTCATTTGAAGTTTATCATTTAGCGAACTGCCATTCTTGTGATAAGATGGGAATTTTTAAAAAGAAAATTGGTGTTTGCCATTGGAGTTCATATCAAATGAAGCTTCACTCAAAATCCGAGTGAAATTGAGTGATGATTGGGAGATTTAACATAGAACTGTACAATTCCTCTAAGAATTCAAACAGCAGTCAAAATTATCTGATCTGGGTAAGCTACAACTATAGTTTAAAATTGCATATAGCGGTCTCAAATTAAGTTGAGAAATAGCACACAAGGAGAAGAAGAAGAAGAAGAAGAAGAAAGGGTTGGGGTAGTTTGATTGTGGAATAGTAGTCTCATTGTGAGAGAAGCACACAAGAGAAGACTCACCATGTTTGAACAGAGCTCTCTCTACCCCTTCTCGGTCTCTTTGGATAAAAATCCGATCCGTTGAGTTGTTAAAAAGGATAAATGACATGTATCTACCATTTTTTTTTTATTATTGGATTTTTTTTTTCAAAACACATTTTAATCATTAAATATTCACTCCTCTCCTCTCCTTTTTTTTTTCATAATTAATTAATTAGTTAATGAATTAATGTATTATCTCTTTTCTCCTCTTATTTTTATAATGTTTGTATTAGTATGAATATTGGGAGTTGTCATTTGGTTATGACAGAATTAATTTTGACTGTGATTTATAGTTATTATAGTTATGAGAAATTGTGACACAATAGACATGCGATTGTGTGGTTAGATTAATATAGGCATAAGATATAGTATGCAACACTTCCATCACAAGTTTGATAACAACACTGGAGGTGGACAATACTTGCCATCTCGACAAATCACATCCTCTAATAATACAAACACGTTTAGTAAGGTGTGACATGAAAAGGCCAAATCATTATTCAACTTTACTTAAAACTTTTTCATCATTGAACCATTAAAGTGACCATCTGTATTAGATCCCATTTATAATTTTTTGTCTTGATTTAAAAAGGAAAAAGAAAGAGAAAAGGAAGGTATAACCCAAAGTTGAATCGAATAAAATTAAACTGTTAGCTTGGCCATTTTTGTTCAGTGGCTTTTCAGCTGGGATAATGAAGCTAATAGATGATGCTAAGAATGAAAACTATGAAATACATTAATACTGAGGAAACCTCATTTATCAAAGACTACAGAGGAGTGAATATCAATAAAATAAACATGAACAAAAAATTCATCAGAACTAGAAAAGTTTTAACCAGTGTATTTTTCTTACACAGACACAAGTTCACCAACTATACAAACATGGACCTTCAAACTAATCTGTCAATTTGGCTTTTTCTTCAAAAGCATCTGCCAAGTTGAAGTTCAAATTGCCTCTCATGGTTCTGCTGCCAATTCCACCATCACCCTTCCTCATCATTGTAGCAAATTCACTGTAGTCTATACGCCCATCCTGTCAAATGATATATAGCATAGTAACAACAGTTAGATCCACATTTTATAAAAGACATGTACTTCCAATTTATTATCTAGATTTTAAGAAGGTAAAACTGGTGGAATTTCAGGCAATAACTGTTGATTCAAGAGTGGTCCAACTTAAATATTTATAATCCCACAAGAAAAGTATATATATATATATATATAGAGAGAGAGAGAGAGATCAGTTTGCAAAGGCTACTAGAAGCAGTAGTCTACCTGTGTATCCCCTAATGGACTTTGAATATCAATGAAATTCCATAATGTCAACAATACAATGAAATGAAGAGCAAACGAAGGTTGTATGCTAACTGAACTATAAACGCGGAGTATGACATAATCAGAGTGACTCACATTGTCTTGATCAATTTCTTCAATCATCTCATCCAATTGGACATCACCTAGACCAAAGTCTCTGCAAGCCTGTTGAAGCTCATCAATGGTTATGTAACCACTGCCATCCTTATCGAAGAAGGAGAAGGCTATAAGCAAATTCTCCTCTGTTTCCATCTTATTCAAATGCAATGTGGCAGCAAGGAATTCACCATAGTCAATTGTTCCACTGTTGTTAATATCAGCCTGTCAAAGTTTCTCATTAAATGTAAGCAAACTCTAGATTTAACCAGACAATGATTTGAAAATGCAAAAACTACTGCAAACATGGATCTATTTACCGCATTCATAAGGGACATGATCTCAGATTCCATCAGCTCAGAGCCAACCCTTTTCAAACCTGCCTTTAGTTCCTCAAATGTTATGGTTCCACTGTTGTCTGTGTCAATCATCTTAAACAACTGTTTCAAACCACCAATTTCTTCTTCTGAAAGTTTTTGTGCTATAACCTGCAGCAAATATTTTGAGTGTAAGGAATCGATGCAATATTTAAGTAATGCATCAACAAAATAGTGCGATTTTTCCACTGTAGAACCAAATCCAAATGTGTAAAAAAAATACAGGTGCACAGTACCATTACCACTCTATCATCTGTGTAATCAAAGATTGTATAGATTGATTCTATAATCCGATTTTATGGTTTTACACTACGTGATTCCACAGAAGTAGGATAAATATTAGTGATGTGATGATGACAAAAGTCGTAAAACATGGGGAAAAATGTGTTTTAAATGCATAACAATTTCCTTTTCAATCTTCGCCAGTCTATAAGCGCTTTTATTGACAATATTATTTCTTCAATGAAAATAATTTCCAAACTATAATTGGGATTTAAAGATTTTCTACATAATCAACATATGGTGCACAATACTGCAATATTTTTAGTTCTAAATTACCAAAAAGGTCTTGATGCCTGCAAAATATGCCTCGTTTGTTCCTGATGTGAAAAGGAAGAATATTTTCTTCAAGTTGTCGAGCTGTCTGAAACTCCCAGAGCTAAGCTTCTTTTAGGATTAAAATATAAGAAAATATTCTATATTAAAATACTCAAAATTGTTTCTTCTCCTACATTTGTAATTATTTTCAGGATGCACAAAGAATTAAGTATATTTAAATACAAAATCCTGCACTGACCTCTTTATCACTGACATTGATGGCACGCTAGGATCACTTAAAAGTCTCATGTTCAGGACTATTAACATTAGATTCCAATTTCCAATCATTTCATCTACATACCACAGCATTATTGACCTTGAAAATTCTACCTTTCATTTCTGTCAGTATATAATTTGAGATACTTATCATTCTTTAGCAGCTAAGGGATTCTTCCTTGTACCCGTGGGAAACAAAGTTCGTAGCATTTATGAAATCTATGCTTGCAAAATTTGCATTAGAAGGAAACCAGGAAACAAGTTAACAAAAACATACATGTAGAGCCATTTTCTTGAGTTTGTTCATGGCTGAAAACTGCTTCAGGCGTGACAAAACTGCAGAATCCAGAGGTTTGTCGGGGGCCAATCTGTCATCCACGATCCATGGGTGACCTGGTGGAGTTACCAAATCGGATGTCATGAAAAATACTGAAATGCAAGAGCTATGCATTGCAACCACTACAAGCTTAAAAGAACTATCCTGGCTAAATAACAAGGTATGACTCACATAGGACTTCATGAGCAGTTATTCTTGTTCTTGGATCCCTACAAAGCATCTTTTGTATCAAATCTTTTGCACTATCGGAAATCTGAGGCCATGGATCAGATTTAAAGTCTAATTTTCCTTTTAAAATCTGCTTAAAGATACCCGCGTCAGTTTCTGCAATATTAAACAAAAAACAAATGCATCATTAGTCCAAGAATATAATGAAGAACATAACAAGAATATCATTTTATAGAAAAATGCAGTTTCCACCGTAGAACACCAAATATCATCAAGAAGCGTACCTGCCCAAAAAGGTGGAACCCCAGATAATAAGATGTATAGGATAATACCAGCACTCCATACATCTATTTCAGGTCCATAAAATTTATGCAGGACTTCAGGAGCAACGTAATAGGGACTTCCAACAACATCAGAATGGTATTGCCCTGGAAGGAAAAAAAAGAAAAGGCAATCAGAAGTTCATATAATCATATATTTTTACCAAAAATATAAATAAATCAGAAATTCATATGTGACCTAGTACAATTTAAGAATTTGACATAGGTGGATATAAAAGGTAGGTTGTGTTCCATCTTATCAAGAAGCCAATATGCATTATATTATCAACTTTAAACTATAATTAATATTGATTAGGCTCCTTCATATGCATTTGACTAGTTAACAAATTGGACTCTGGCATTGTGACCAAACCCACAATCATGCTAGCTCATGTTTTGCTCTCCATTAACCTGCAAGTTTATTAGATGTAAAGCATGGTAATGTTGAATAATCGAGTTTAATGAAATAAGATGGTAAATCATTATACTTAATTTAATGCCAAACAATGAAATTGACTAAATAAGTTTGACAAAAATAGCAATTAACCAAGACCATCAATCTCTATATAGAAAATGACCCAGTAATCCCCGTCCAAAAAAACCTCAAAACCAAACAAAAACAAAAGAAATTTTTGTATGTTGTTTGGTATCATTTTCCCTTTAATTAACAATATGTTTTGGCAAGGAAATGAAACCCACTTTCTAGAAAACACAACAAGTTGATTTCAAATTTTTAAAAATAAAATGAGAATGATTGGTGTGTTGGAACATTTAATTATATTTGTTTCCGAAAACACATAAGACAAAAATTAATACAATAAATAACAACAAACAAATAAATAAAGAAACAATAATGAGAAAATAAAAACAGAGGAAACAGAGGAGAAGCAAAGAAGAACGAACCAGGCTTATAGAAGATAGAGAGGCCAAAATCGGTAGCCTTAAGAGTAGCATCCTCATCAGGAGTATCAAACAAGAAATTCTCAGGCTTAAGATCTCTATGCATAACACCAAGAGAATGACAAGCCTCCACAACCGCAACAATGGTCTTAATCAACCTGGCCGCATTCCTCTCACTGTACTGACCCTTTTGCACAATCCTATCAAACAGCTCACCGCCAGCACACAATTCCATCACCAAATGAACAAACAGATTGTCCTCATAAGTGCCTTTGATTCTCACCACATTTGGGTGTTCAGAGAGATGATGCATTATCTGGATCTCTCTCCACACATCGTCGTAATCGTCTCGGCACATGAGCTTGCGTTTTGGGATGGATTTGCAGGCGTATTGGGCACCTGTGGATTTCTCTGTGCATTGATAGGTTGTCCCGAATTGGCCTTGGCCTAGCTTTTTGCCAAGTACGTAGTGGTCTCGAAGCCTTGGGGTTTGATAAGGAAGGACTGTTGTGGCAGCCTTTGATGTTGGATTCTTTGTTGTTGTTGTTGTTGTTGTTGTTTGTTGCTTCTGGGTGTTCTCAGATTCCATCTCTCTCTCTCTCTCTGTGGAAAAACAAAAAAAAAAAAACTAAAACTAAAACACAAAAATGTTGGGTTTGTATCTGTGCTGTATGGCTTCTTCTTCTTCTGGTGTTCACAGATTTACATGTTTCTAAAAATGATTTTGGATCTCTCTCTCTCTCACTATCTCTAGGTTGTTATTTCGGTTTGATGAGAGAGAGAGAGAAGAGATATAGATTTGGATTGGCGGGGGACGTGAAGCCGTTGTTATGTGGGTTAGACTATTTGGCGGGGTATGTGGTGAGAGAGATGGATTCACATCTGGTTCAGCTTTGTACAGTGATGGATGGTCCATTTGTCACTAGGATCGTGCCACGTCTTGAGTGATTGGTAACCATGTAGGGCTGACTTTTTGGGTGCTCCATTTATACCTCATATTTTATTTATGGAGCAGCCTGCCTCCCGTGGGAGATCGAATTGGACGGTATTGTTTTGGTTTATGGGAGTTATTATAGGTCTCTTTTTGATAATTTAAATCGTTAATTTGTTCATGTCGAGTATAATTCAATCGTTAATTTGTTCATCATTTATTTTTTATATAAAACTGATTTAATCACATAACTGTCGATATCTGATCAACGTGATTTTTTTACAGACATATAATACTCAATAAGTTCTACACATTGAACAATTCATATTATCAAAATGGGACCCATGATGAACCTCTACAGACCGAACAATATTATCAAATTTGATCTCAAACTAAAGGCAAGCAACATCCTTTTTAGACTAAGGGGTTGTTTGGGGTGTCCTAAATAAGTGCACTTTTTGTCTTTTTGGACTAAAAAATTGAGGTTGAAAATATGGATGTTTGGGTTAACTTTTTGACTTTTTATGGAAAAATGTGTCATAAAAAATTGTAAAAATTGATTTGTAGGGAAAAATTCGAATTAGGAGTTGTGCAGCCGTAATTGTTGACTTTTGGTGAATAGTGTTAACTTTTTAACTTTTTGAGTAACTTATTGACTTTTTGACTTTTTTACAAGTTCCCAAACTTGGCCTAAATTATATATATACTATATTTTATAGGAAATTCTACGATATACCCCTCCAAGTGGTATGTAGTATATGTAGCTTGTTACTTATTTTAGTGATATATTATGTATTTTTTAGTAAATGTTATATATTTTTTTGGTACGAGTTATGACAATTTTTAATTGAGAAATGAAGTTATATATTTTTGTTGTAATGTTACTTATTTTATGGTGTTGTTATATATTTTGTAGTTAAAAAATGTTTGGATAATAAATTGTGCAACATTATCATAAAAATAAGTAACATTATTATAAAATGTGTAACTTTATTTTTGAATCACAAATTGTCATAATTCTTACCAAAAAAATATGTAACATTTACCACAAAAAGACGTAACAAGTGCATATGGTACGCATCGTCATAGTGTTTTCCATATTTTATTACCCCTAGTTTGACTTAATTTCTCTTTAGTTTATATTGTTTTAATTTGAACAATTTTTGTTTTTTTTATTTATTTATTCCAAATTCAACTTTAATTTGATCATCCGTTTGAATTTTCATTATTTTTTGTATGTATACATTTCAAGAGATTGACAAGTATTTCAAAATTATTAATTTCAACTTCTAAATTCCAATTTGAATAAAAAGATTAAATTGAAATTGAATTTTAAGTAGAATGACCAAATTATTTAATTAAAATAAAATTGAAGTCAAAATTATTGAAATTAAAAATATAATTTACCCTTTTATATTTTTATTTTTAATGATAGAGCCCTTTATAGCATGATCTCTAAACTTATTTCTAATGATATAACATGGAGTTTAATAGATGATTTTTAAATCAATTAATAATTGATATAAAATAATTCACAAACAAATTTAAGAGTGGCGTTTTAAAAATTGAATTGTTTTCATCATGTTTTTGTTCTACACTCACATGTTCAAGTATATTTTGTTAAAAAATTGTGTTTTAAAACTATGCGTGATCTGTGATGCGTATAGAGAGAAAACTATTTGTCTCTCAATTATTTTGTTTTATTCAAAAAGAAATTTCCAAGCACACTCTTCTCTCACAAAAAAAGTCAAAAAAGTCTTTCCAAAACTAAGCTTTTTAACCCAGGCTAAAATAGTCAAAAAAGTCAAAAAATTAAAAAGTCAACCCACTTCCAAACGGAGGCTAAATTTATTACTCTTAAAAACATTGCTTGATCCAATGAATTTTAACATTTGATTCCTAAAACATGTTTGTAATATATTCTAAGATCACAGTTTTAAATTTTTTCAAAATCTTAAGTAGCGACTTTAAAATCTGGTGATATAATTCATTTCTGGAAAAGATTTTGTAATAAAACAGATTTCCTATAACAGTTGTCAAATCTGAACTCTCATCTATATTTCACATTACACTCGTGAGACTAGATCAAAGAAGTCAAGAGTCCGAACTGTTTAATACGCACGGGTACTCCCAGGCATGTTACACATGTACTTCACTTTTGTAGAGAAAACTCAATATATATGAACCAACGATGATAATATTAACTATGAAACTAAACAATCAATCGTATTGTCTCTCAATCAACCCTATTTTACAACCTTTTTGATTTATTTTTGTTCTTCGTTCATAATTCTGGATATTATTTTTTAATTACCTAAATTTCTTTATCATGTATTTAGCTAATTTGTGTAAAATTTTCATAATCTTTTTCAAAGTCACATATTAATACATATGAACTGGTTGGATTTCTTTGCAAAATAACTAATTTTTACTTTGATATAAGTTAAAATTTTTAAGTGAAACGAGTTCAGTCCTTTTATTGATTGATGCATGTTCGTTCTTCTCAGTTGAAATTATTATTCTCAAAGTGTTTGTATTCCCATTTGTAGTATGGGGTATGGTCAATTAATTTAAATTTTTTCCTAATCTTTTGTAATATTGTTTTCTTATTGTGCAAATATTGATGGTAGTGGAAGAAAGAATGTATTATGTCAGCAATACTATTCACTTTGCTTGGTTAGAGTTTTTCAAAAACACTTTCCAGAAAATTCTATTTTCTTATTTTTTGTATTTTTTTGTTTTTACTAAATTTTTTTAATATTTTAAGCAATTTTTTTTAAAAAATTTTTAGACATACCTAACATAAATATACTTAAAAAGTAAAAAATTTGTGAAAAAAAACCTTTTAAAAATTCACTAAATACCAAAAATAAAAAAAAATGAGAATTCAATACATTTTTTATATTTTTATGTATTTATTAATTTTTAAAATATTTTTCTACAAATTTTTTACTTTTTAGATAGATCTAAATAAGGTGCATCTAAAAAAGTAAAAAAAAAAATATTTAAAATTTTAAAAATATTTACTAAAAATAAAAAAATACAAAAACTAAAAAACTTAATTTTTAAAAAACTTAATTTAAAAAATTCAAACCAAACATACTGATTGTTATAACTATAAATATGAGATGAGGGCCACTCAATCCTCGGGTGACTATTGTAGCAATTTGTTGTCGACATGACTTGAGAATACATAAATTAATGCTTAGAATTTGTTAAATATAAGTCCACTCTAACAATTTCTTCAAGAAAACATGGCCAGGAATCCGAGGCATGTGATGGTTCTAGATAACAATATAAATTAATGCTTAACATTTGTTAAATATCAAAATTACAGCCTTGTAATTTATTTACATTTATTACATCAAATATCAAATAATTGATGAAACTTACAGTGGAAGACAGGGGAAAGACAACTGCATGTCACATTATTTAAAACGATTAAGAAAATTATTAGATGTCCAGCAATTGAATTCATAGCCTCCAAAGAAAATGCAAGTTTACCAAATCTATAATCAGTGTCACATTAGTAACATACATACATAATAAAGGAAGGAATTTAATTTAAAATTATACTATTGTTATTCTTATTGCAGGAATGTAAGAATATCAAATTTAAAAAGCCACTAAAACTTACTTCTCGACATACATACATACATACACACATACATACTTTTTAGAAGGTTGAACAAGATGAATGGAGAAGATCAATATGAAATGGAAAGGGAATGGCTTCTCTCCAGTCCTTAATCGGACTGGACCATGCTGTTGGGCTTGTAGAGGCCCACCACGGGTCTCGTTTTGATAATCTGAACCGTTAATGTGTAGAACTCGTCGAGTACTATATGTCTGTAAAAAATCACGTTGATCGGATATCGATAGCTATGTGATCAAAACATATTTTTGTCAGCCGTTAATTTATTCACCGTCTATTTTTTTATACAAAATTGATTTGATCACATAGCTTTTAATATCCGATTAACGTGATTTTTCACAGACAAATAGTACTCGACGAGTTCTACACATTTAAGGGTTCAGATTATCAAAACAGAACCCGTGGTGGGCCTCACAGGCCCAACAACACGGTCCAGTCCCGATTAAGGACTGGACAGAAGCCATGCCCGAATGGAAAAGAGCAACATAACAAATTTCCAAAATTTAACAGCAAAGAGGATCAAATTAAAGAATGAATAAATTTTATAAAAGTATTTTAGCTCTCAATTTCTTTTACTTATTTTATTTCAAAATAATAACAATAATAATAATAATAACAACAACAACAACAACAATACAATGTTAGTTGAATGTTTTATTTCTTCACATTATATATATTATTAAAAGTAGTGTTTTTCTCATGTTTAGGTGTCACATTATAAGGGCTTACTTTTTTTTCAAAAGAGCCACATCAGCATATATTTTCTTAATTATATATAGAGTTTTACACAAATTTAAATTTAATTTAAGTTATACTAACTTGACCTATTTTATATGGACTCTGACAAATATTTATTTTTTTATATATTTTTCATCTTAAATTGAGATAATCCACAAACCCTAACTTTACCTATTGTATATGGGGTCTATTTGACAAATATTTATTTTTCATTGTAAATTGAGATAATCCACAAACTCAAATACCAATTTTGCGTTTTACGTTTTTTCTTCTTAATTTTTTCAGGGGTATTATGATTTTTTTTTAACGTTAAATTATTTTTTCTTCTTATTTTTTCTGTGCATTATTCTATACCCAATTACAATTCTATATTATAGATTTGTTGCTTAATTTTTGTAGTGATTATATATATGAATTATAATTCATTTCATTCATTATTTTATATAATTACAATTCACAAGTTTTTTTTTTAAATGTTTTGACATCATATTACAAATGATTAATTACTTCACACATTGAGATGTATCTATCGTTTGAATGTTTTCATTATTTTTTCTTTTTGAATTTAGATATTGTTATGCAATTCTTTTTTGATTAGTCATTGTCGAATTTCTTTTATATAGTTGATATTTTAATTTAATTAAGAGTGTTTATTTTACAATCTTATAATTATATATATATATATATATATATCATACAAAATTATTATATGATAATCCAACTACAACTTATTTATATTTAAGAAAAATGATTCGTAACTCGAAAATCTTTCAGTTTGAATGGCTCACTGCCCAAAACGACGTTGTTTTGGGCAGTTTTTTTTTTTTTTACTATTAGATCTTTGAAGGATAGAGGAACAAACAAAGGGACGAAGAGAGAGAATAGAAAGGAAGAGAGGAGAGAGAGAGCTCCACTAGAGACTCCATTGAGTTTCTTCTTCTTCTTCTTCTTCTTCTTTTTTCAGGGTTTGAAATCAATCAATTTGATCGAAATCGATGGATATGGATCTCACAAAATCGATGGATGTTGATGATGATGTTGATGTTGATGATGTTGTGATAATGATGTTGATGAAGATGTTGTTGTTGATGATGATGATGTGTTGATGATAATGATGTTGATGAAGATGTTGTTGTATCTCTCTCTCTCTCTTGGTTCCCTAGCTTCCTTTTCTCTCTTTCTTGTCTTCTCATCTTTTTCTTCATCATCTTCATCTTCATCTTCAGAGAGAAAAAAGAAAGAAAAAAAAAAATTTCCAGAAAGAAAAAAAAAAAAATTCCCAAAATGACTGATTTTGGACTCAGGCCATTCGGGCTGTATTGTTTTCGAGCTACCAATTGGAACTGTATATTTAATTTTTTTAATAAATTTTGTATAATTTCTATTTCTACATATTTTTATTTTCCAAATGAATATAAAAGAAATTTAAATAGTTAGAATTATTTTTAATTTTATGTTGCTAATTCTTCTTCTAATTTAAATATTATTTTTAATATCAAAATGAGTATTTATTTTACTATTTTACAATTTAATATATATCATATAAAACTATTATATGATAATTATACTTTTATAATTCGATAGAAATAAAATTAATACATATAAGTATTCAAGTAATAATTTTATAGAACAATAATGTCAATATTATTAAAAATAAATAATTAAAATTATACTTTCAATTTAATTTTAAATCAAAATTAAAATTATCCTTTTATAACACACATTGTACCTCCGATTTTTTTTAAAAATAAAATAAAATAAATAACATGTACATTGCACGGTTAACTGGTAGTTTGATAATAATATTACAATGTTAATTGAGTGTTTTATTTCTTCACTTTTTAATATTAAAATGTTAATCACATAACAAAAGTCAACAAGCATGGTGAATTATATATTTAATAATAATAAATCTAACCATAAGATATGGACTACAATTATCTTATGTGACTAATTTCAATCTACTTTTAAAATCTTAATACTTAAACATTAATATAAAAATATAAGATAACATGTGAAATTTAACACATGCAACTCTACTAGTATCACCTCTACTAGTATCATAAATAAATTTAAACAAAAATCATTAATTTCGATTGGGTAGGGCGAGGGAAAACTTCAAAATACACCCAGTCCAATTTCTCTTCACACTCGTGGCATGTATTTTAGTCCAATTTCTCCACACTCGTGGCATGTATTTTAAAATTTTAAAGAAATACTTGTACACGAGTGTGGAAAGAATATCGTGTATTTGAAATACTTCAAACCCAATAATGCTAAAATGACCATCCTCTCATCAATTATTTATTATCTGACATCATCATATGATATACAAAATGCTAGAAAAGGAGATGATCATTATAGCAACCAAAGTTGACATCAAATGCTAAATTTACCAGTAACCCATACATACAAAAACAGATACACACAAAAGTATCTGCATATATTTATTTAGATCCAACAGCTTATTAAAGTTGGAGTATGATCACAAAAGATCTAGTTGGTTGGTTTTGTACAAGATAGTGCTGTAGTGGTTCAAGGTAGTGAAAGATACTTTGGGTATTAGATACATAAATAAGACTTTTTCATAATAGAGAGATTTACACATTCAGCCTCCCAGGTCCTGAATGCAGGTGATAAGTCTTGCTTGGAACCACCTGTAGAACACCAGGTTGCTCTGCCCAACAAAAAATCAATAAAAATATTTAAATTAGTGTTTTTCACTTCTTTAATTCTTTACCATTCATAGTAAAAATTTCAACTCAGTTATCTCATATCAGAAATTGTTCTTTCAAGTTTCAACACTATCACACTGACTGTACAAAAAACATTATGCATACCAGTTAACATAAATCATTTGTTAAACATATATTACACCACTATTTGTTCCTAGAAGTGTTTTTTTTTTTTTTTTAGCATCCAAATTAAAGATCTTAAGTATCGGTGAAATTCACACACGTACAAATAAGGATTCACATGAGATTCCACAATCTCTCACCTAAGTTTCCTCATTTAAGGACACTATATATGAAGATGGCAATATGTGTGGCCTAAAATTACTAAATCAGATGAATTCACATGTTCATACAAGAGGAGCAATTTTGTGGAGCAGGACAAGCAGAATAAAATAATAAAATGTGAAAAGTAAAAGGTAATCAGAAACACAGCTCTCATAGGTATATGCAGATCATTTTGTCTGACAATCTGCGTATGCAGACCTGTCAACTTAAAACTCAACCATGTTAGACCTATCCTTTTGTCCCACATATGTTTCTAGAGGTTCAGATATCGTATACGTATTTATTTTCAACTATCTAAATTTTATGATTATCTAAATAAAATAATTTAATTATAAATTTGGTACATTGAAATGTGTCTGTTTATTACCTATCCTAACTTCTAGAAGATTATATTATAGTTGAATCTCTTAAAAGCAAAAAACATGAACCAAATTGTATTAAGGAATTGTCCAAATAGACTAGCAGTTTTTTCGTCGATGCCAGAATTTCAAGTTTAGAATATCCTTAATTAGATATAAATTGCTGTGATAGGAAGGGAGCTCTGTCTAAATGAAGATATTGTGACCAAGAATTCAACAAAAAATTGCCACCAGTTGTGGCATTAAAATGTCCTACTCACTGTGGTACCAAAGTAATGATATCTGAATATGTGTAAGAACCTAATTTAAAATGTGTACAATAACATTAAGAATTTATACAAACTCTATACAACTAACTATAGATGAAGTGTTTCTCATCAAAGGATGAATCCCAAGAGTAAGGGAGCCCTTTAAAAGAACTAAGACATTAGATGCATGCGAAAAGATCCTACTTGACATTAGATGCATGCGAAAAGACCCTACTTAAATAAGTAAATCTAACACAGGAATGAACAATGGAGGAGCCCAGAAACCCCAACATGACTAATCCATTTGTGGGTACAACAACCAATATAAGTCATGCTTACTAAAGGGTTTTACTCCAATTACAATTAAATTAGATCTGCGTAACTAATATATGAGCACGTAAATCAATAAACAACATTTATAGCATTAGGAACAATTTTCCCAGTTTTCATGCCCTCATAGATAATCCCATCCTAACTGATGGCATAGCTTGATCATGAAGGGAACCAGTCTAAACAGTGGCTGCCATCCTTAGATGCATGCGAAAAGACCCTATTTGACTCTCCACCCCATTCTCAGAAATAAGAAGTTACAAATACAGGTTTTGTGTTTAATATAGGAAGAAATTCATGGGGAAGTTCTGATCCAGCATCAAAATAATATGATTGAATGTAAAATGGATCATAAAACGAAATTTGTCAGGTTGAATGAAGGTGTGACCCAAAAGCAAAGTTGCAAGAAAAAAAATTATAATACAATTCCGGAAGGACCTTTATTTATTTATTTATTTTTCTGTCTGTTATTTTTCCTTGAAGCTGACAAATTTATTCACACCAATAGAAAAATATTTGAAGTAATACAACAACAAAAACAAATAATAATAATAATTTAAATGCCATTTCTATGCTCTAATACCAAATGCATCCTTGTAAATCAGGCACAGCTGCACAGCCAAGAACAATGAGATACCCATAAGACATAACCATGAAATGGGGTTTGTCTTATGATATGGATCTCTTCACTGTTTCATGAAAGGCACAGAACAAAACACCAAACACTTGAAAAATCATTTTGTCTGTCATTATCTTCTTTCCACTCTTAATTCAGACACTACAAGTGTATAGCAACCAAATGATAGACCCGTAATTCCCAAGGTTTATCAGTGTAAGCATAAGTCTCAATAGGCAATAATCTATGAAGCACGGATACGGATACGGATACGAGTACTGGTACTGGTACGATACGAGTATGTCAATACAGTAAAATTTAAAAAAAGTATAGTATATGTACAACTTGGTACGTTTGTAAAAAAATATTTATTTTTAATTTAGAGTAATGCAAAAATTGATTAAATGGTTTAATTTGTTAAGATCCAACCTAAAATTAACATTTAATGCCAAAAGTAAAGGTATAAATCAAAGGCCAATATATTAAATAACTTATGAACCATAGCTTAATTTTAAAATCATGCTAAGCATAAAACTAAAAATAAAAAAGAAGACTAGTGAAAGGAATTTTATCTTTATAATAGAAGAAAATATTATTTTAACTTAGGAACGGTATGGCATGTGTATATATACTAGATACATTTGGGTACAACTGGATACGCCAAAAATTAAGAAGGAAAATTTTGAGTACGTGTTTCGTGTACCTAGTACGTATGCAGAAGTACCATACACAAAGTATGCGGTACGGGTACGGCATGCTTTTTGAAATACCCATGCTTCATAGGCAATAATGTGTTACTTTAGTGGTTTGTGTCTTGAATGTCTAGAAAGAAACTCATTACCAATATTAAACTCCATTTATTGATCCTAAACATGTAATTACTGAAGAATAACATAAGAATGTCATTCAATGTCAAAGGACGGAATGCTTGCACGAGTTAGCTTTTAGACATTTTAATTAGTGAAAATTCATTTGGAAACAAGACAATCTAAGAGACGCAGATAGACAGATGGTAACATCACAAAGAGCAAATCACAGTGAGGATGGAATCCTAAATTTGTAGATGCTATATAAGTGAAGTAGACAGTGATAAGGTGCCTGGTGGAAGTCCATATGTAAGGGCCCGTTTGTTTTCAGAGATAGAATGGAGGGGATTCATAGTGAGGGATTCATAGTGAGGGGATTGTTAGTGAGGGGATTGATAGTGAGGAATTGTTAAATTATTTTTATATAAAATAATAAAACAAATAAAAAAATATAAAAAATTAAACATTATGTTTAAAAAAAAAATTCCCAATATATAAAAAATAAAAAAAATAAAAAAATTTCTAATCCGCTCACTATTTTTCTAATACCATCTCTACCTCCTCCTTACCAATCCTCCTTCATCCTCTTTACTAATACCAAGGGATTACTAATCCCCTCCCTATCTCTCTAAACAAACACCCCATTCTCAATCCCCTCCTCACTACCAAATCCAATCCCCTCCCTATAACCCCAAACAAACGGGGCCTTGGCCTACTAAGGATGTCAGGCTACCTTTAAAAACTCAATCTCCAATTAGAAAAAACATAGAAACCAATACTTAGACGCCCGATTGATAATCTGTGGCATGCCTCATAAGAAATAAAATTTTCGAACTAAACCAGTTCCATAAAGCTGGTCATTCTATTACGTGAAAAAAATAAACTTGTCCATATGTTTTATAATTGCAACAAATTTAGAGGCATTGAAGGAATTATCCTGTAGTTATAGTCTATGAAGTACCAACATTTCAAAACAAGTGTTGTATACATGTCGGACACAGACACGGCGGGGACATGTATGAGACACGCCATATGGCATGTCCCCTTATTTAATTAATTTATTTTCAAGAGAGATGCTGGGACACTTCACGAACACACTAGGGATATGCTAAGTTGTCTTTTCTCCCATTTTCTTTAGTGATTTTGACAAATGTTGAATGTTTATTTATTTAATTATTTTTATGTAAATTTAAACACTTAATAGATCATCCATAAAATAATAAAAAAAGCTGTAAGTGTTAATTTAAAAGTAAATTTTTTTTTTAAAATATATAATTATAGTTAATTTTTGTCAATATTGATTGTTTGTTGATGTAATATTAATCTAAATAGCAAATAAAAATATGTGAAAATATATTTTATTATCGTGTACTCGTCGTGTCTGCGTCTCCATTTTTTTGAAATCAATGTGTCCCGTATCCATATCCATATTCATGTCTGTGTTTGTGTCCGTACTTCTTAGGTTATAGTAAAAGGTTAGCCAGCTTACTATCTATCTTATGTCATAAATGAAATGCCATCCAATACAAATCTCTATGAGGTTATAGGCTCTCTGATGTAACTAATCTACCTACTATGGCTACCCACCAAAAAGAAGAAAATTGAGATTCTTTCATATTCAGTAGTTATTCTGTTGGCCTAGCCAGAACACTTTTCATAACATGGCGTGCATCATTTATGGGATTCTCCACTAGACAACCATGCAATGCCAATATATGACAAAACTACAAACACAGGGAAATTTGATTCCCGTGCCATTCATTCTCCACTCTCTTAAAGTTTGCCAGACACTAGACTATTAAGATAACCTACTGTGAATGAAATTAAGAACCACGAACAAAGTAATCGAAAATAGAAGAAAAAGAAAATAGCAACATTGATGATTTCCTTTCAAAAGCTTGCCAATTTTTGGGATGTCATTGTTGTAATTGAAATGAAAAATTTGTAGGTTGGATCAAGAACATAAAAAATTGATGAGGAAAGTGATGGATGGCCAACCAAATTTGGTCTTGGTCAATTAGTCCAAAAGCAGATTAAATTAAAGAGAGGGCGAGGAAGTTGGAAAATAAATATGGTTGTTTTTGGTTTTTTTTAAATAAAAAAAAAATTGAAATCGGAGACTATAATTTGCAATAAATAGGAGACATGATTCAAGTAGGAGATGTGACAATCTAATTTTATATTCACCAATTTTCAACAGTTTTCCCACATAAGTCAATTATTATTTTCGTATTTGAAAAAAATATAACAAGTCATTCAAAATTATAACTGATTACAGAAGGGTGATTATTTAGTATGACGGACACGTGGTGCTCATAAGATTTTGATTGGTAGGGAGAGGTAGGGGCCACGATTTATGTTGGGATGGGAGAACAACATAAAACTAAATTGGTAATTGATTTGGAGGATGGCCCCGTGGTGTTCCGGGATTATTGAATAATTTCCAGATTAGAGAATCCCTCTAGAGTCCCTTAGAACAACAACAACAACAACAATAGCCTCAATTTAAAGAAATCTAGATATTAACGATAAACCCCAAATAGATAGAACAATGATGTATTATAATAATGATTCAAACCCATCCCACAGAACACAGAACAAGCAAAATCACAAACAGCAAATCCTAACGAAACATAATACAAAAACAATGACCAAAAAAAACCCTTACTTGACATTTCGGAGACCTGCTCGGGAGTGAGTTTGGCAGAGAACCCACTTGCAGCGTGCTTGTAACTGTACAACAGTGCCTCTTTCGCTGCGTCCTCGCTAACCCACACACACACATATCCAAATTAGCACATATACATACATACATACATACATACATACATATATATAGAGAGATAGAGACCTGCCGAGGACGGAAGCAAGGGTGCGGATGTGGTAGGTTTCGGGGTCCTCGTTCTGAGGCCTCTCGGTGTAGATTATGTGAACAGCTGAATCTGATTTTGGCATAGATAAATCAGCCATAGCTGTGGTGGTGATCGATGAAGAAGAAGAAGACCAAATCAAGAAAAAGAGCAAAGAAATGAACAATGCGTTGGTGAGAGAGGTTGACTGGGTGAGTCAGGACAGCGACTCGAAGGAGTTGGGCGTGAAGGCGGTGGACTCGAAGAAATTTCAAGGTATGTGTAGAAAATTCTAGCGGACTAGGTTGAGGTCCGGCGGGCTGCTAAGGTGAGGTTGCCGCCCGCCGGGGAAGTGAAAATATTAGGTTCTAAACCTGCTCTGATACCATGTAGAAATTTAATGTATAAAGAAAAATAGAGAATTGTATAGATATTGATTGTATTATTGATTGATTGAATGTTATATATTACAAATGGTGAGGGGCTCCTTATATAGGAGATGTAGTGGAGTAGGTGGTAGTAGGTGGTAGTGGTAGGTGTGTAGTAGGTGGTAGTAGGTGGTGGCAAGCATTCCAAATCTCACCATTTATACATAACAACAAATAACTATCCCTACCTCAAGTGTAGAAGCCTAAAGGAGAAGTGGAGAAACTTCAAAGATGTCGGAACCAAACTCTATTCGGATGTAATGGTAGCCCTTGAGATGCTCCAACTCTTTAACAAAGGCACTAGGGTAGGAACCCACTAGATCAAGGTCAAAATGTAGAGAGAGAATGTGTAGATTTAGGTTTTTGGAAAGTTTTAGAGAGAGAAAAGGATGAAAAAGTGATATAAAATGTCACTTTTGCGATCTGATATACGCACAGTCCGCTCGAG